TCGCAAACAACGCAAGTGATTGTTGGACAGCGAGCATACAGCGATCATCAGCAAGTGGTTTGTTCCTGTGCAAATCGTTGCTTTTACTTGCATCCATTCCACTCTGCATTCGTAGTTATTCAGCAATCAGCAATTGCAACGGCTCATTAAGCGTATTTGTCTCGATATTATCACTGAATATCACTTTGTTCGCTCTTTATCATGACAAAACTTCCAACTTTTTTCATTTCCTATTGGGGAGTGTTCATTCAGTAGTTCTCTCAAAAATTATTCCTGAATTTGTAATGACACCACTAAGATCAGGCAAGCGAAATAACTAATGATAATAAATGGCAGTTTTTTTAGACTTCACTACCGTCAATGCAATCAGGTGTGCATCATCATACGAACACAAGACGTGTTCAAATACCATCTGTGGCTGCATCTGGTATGCAAGCACAACATCAAATTGTTATGACTGGAAATGGTAATAACCAACTGGCACAGTCGTCATCCCAACAACCGTACACTGTTGTTGTTTCATCACAAGATAATATTGTTAGAATTTATGCAATTTCAATTTATCATTTGTAATGTTATTATTATGTTTATTAGTGTTGTTGTGATCCTGTGAGTATATTGATCTTTAGGAGGTCATTTGAGGAGTTTTGATGCTATGCTCAAATTTGCAGTTAACGGGTGGGACGTCACAAATGAGTGGTACACGTATTCAGTATACAACTCGACAAGAAGGACCATCTGAAAGACAGACAATCTATCGTACAATTGCGCCAACCGGTACTAAACGCACATCTCCAGCCAATCCGGCTCAGCGTGTCGGTGTATGTTTCTTTCGATTATTGTTCTTTGAATGAAATTCTCCAAAATGAATGTTTTTACAGCAATTTCAGTAAGATAGGCGAAAATTGAAACTAAAACAAATGAATCCTTTGGGCGTAACGGAAGAAAAATTGAGCAGTCGAATTCGTTTTTAACGAAATCGATCATCAATCGTGATTAAATGCTTGTCAAAATGTCGCACATTTGAAGTGGAGAAGTAATGTTTGGTTGTTCAGTTACCAATGGCATACGCAACCACGTCA